AAAGCTGACTTTGTCAAGTCAATTCACCATTCTTCGTCTGACTGTCTGCAAACTTCCAGTCGGCCTCAGCAGATGGCCGCTCACACTAAGCCTGGTTCTGCTGGAGGTTACTTCTTGTTAAAAGGGAGTTTTTCATCTCCACTGTCGCTACAAGCATTCTTAGTGGGAGGGATTGCTGAAGAGTCAATGAGTCGATAAAATCAACTAGTTTTCCTTAGATAGAAAACTTTGAATCAATTTGATGTATGAAATTAACTCTCTGCATTTGGGCCAGACAGTTGCAAGATCCACTACTGCTAATTTTTTTTTTTTTTACAGCACTAGTGGCTGTTGTTTGGACAGTAGGCTGACAGGAATGGGGGTATGAGAGAGGAGGAGAAACTTACGGCAAAGAACCACAGGCTGCATTCGAACCCGGGTCATCCGCGACAAGGACTAAAGGGCTGGTTATACTCACGCAACAGTTTGTCGCAGTGAGCTTGTCGAAGGTATGACACAGACATTTTTGATCTATGCTAAATTTTAAAGCGTGGTCTGCGATATGTAATTCCACGCCAAAATGCAAGAGGGACAATCAGGAACTAGCTGTGGGTCTAGATAGGGCTGAGGCGGTGAGGATGTGGGGGCAAGTTTGTGCGACATCGGAGAGACATAAGGGCAAAGGGTCCCAGCGTTCTTGCGCACCTCGCTCTTCTAGCTGGTCCATCTTCACGAGTCGTTTTCCACAATGGCGGTCATATACAGGTCCTTCTCAAAATAATAGGATATTGTGATAAAGTTAATTATTTTCCATAATGTAATGACCAAACTTGAACATTCATATATTTTAGATTCAATGCACACTAACTGAAATATTTCAGGTCTTTTATCGTCTTAATACGGATGATTTTGGCATACAGCTCATGAAAACCCAAAAAGTCCTATCTCACAAAAGTAGCATTTTGCTTGCCAAATTAATGTAACAAATTTGACTCCCTATGAGTCTTGGTTGACCGCACCATCTCATAGGCCAGCTCGTATGCGTCTGGGTTCAGCGATGGCACCAGGTGGATCCTNATAACCCAGAACCACACCTATTTCTATTACAAACCCCACACTAAGGCCCCATTTCAACTACTCTTTTAAAACAGTGCTGAGATCAGACCAAGCACGGTAACAGAGATAACTATTGAGTGTAAAAGGGCGTGCAAAACCGGATCACTGGCAGGCCAATTGAGGACAGTGATACCATGGTCAGTAGACCGTTTACCAGTGGGTTTGTCACTGTGAGCAGCTGCCAGGTCGTGCTGAAGAATGAAATCTTCATCTCCATAAAGCTTTTCAGCAGACGGAAGCATGAAATGTTCCAAAATCTCCTGATAGCTGCATTGACCCTGCCCTTGATAAAACACAGTGGACCAACACCAGCAGCTGACATGGCACCCCAGACCATCACTGACTGTGGGTACTTGACACTGGACTTCTGGCATTTCCTTCTCCCCAGTCTTCCTCCAGACTCTGGCACCTTGATTTCCAAATGACCTCCAAAACTGAGCAACAGTCCAGTGCTGCTTCTCTGTAGCCCAGCTCAGGAGCCTCTGCCGCTGTTTCTGGTTCTAAAGTGGTTTGACCTGAGGAATGCAGCACTTGTAGCCATATTTCCTGCACACACCTGTGCACGGTGGCTCTGGATATTTCTACTTCAGACTCAGTCTACTGCTTCCGCAGGTCAACCAAGGTCTGGAATCAGCCCTTCTCCACAATCTTCCTCAGGATCTGGTCACTTCTTCTCGTTGTGCAGCGTTTTCTGCCACACTTTTTCCTTCCTACAGATTTCCCACTGAGGTGCCTTGATACAGCACTCTGGGAGAAGACTATTGGTTCAGAAATATTGTTCTGTGTTATACCCTCTTTCTTGAGGGTGTCAATGATGGCCTCCTGGACAGCAGTCAGGTCGGCAGTCTGACCCATGATTGGGGTTCTGAGTGATGAATCAGAGTTTTAAAGGCCTCAGGAATCTTTTGCAGGTGTTTAGAGTTAATTTGTTGATTCAGATGATTAGGTGTATAGCTCGTTTAGGGACCTTTTTCATGATACGCTAATTTTGTGAGATAGGAGTTTTGGGTTTTCATGAGTTGTATGCCAAAATCATCCGTATTAAGACAATAAAAGACCTAAAATATTTCAGTTAGTGTGCAATGAATCTAAAATATATGAATGTTCAAGTTTGTTCATTACATTATGGAAAATAATGAACTTTATCACAATATGCTAATATTTTGAGAATGACCTGTAAACAAAACAAGCCGGTAGAGCGGATGTAGATTTGACCAGTCAGAGGCCTCCTCTCAGCGGTCACCTACAAATTGGGAGAGTGTCTGCGGAGGGGGCGGGAAAGGCTCTGCGTTCACTGTGACACCTATGCAGACGACCTAGTGGCGCAGGCAGCCTCCATACATGGGTCTTGTGCGCTAACCACTGCACCACCAAAGCATGCCCCATATTGCTAATTAATTAGAAAACTTTGAACCAAACTGACTTCATAGAATTGTCTCTTTAAAATGCATAAAAATGACACTGTGGAGTTTAAATAAACTGAATGAATTGGATTAATGCTAATGCTTAATCACATTCCCCTTAGTTCTTTGGTAAGTGAGGATAATTAAAACACAATTGGAAAAGAATGTAATTCTCGAAGCACATTAGAAAGCACTGAAAGATAGAAATTTGAAGAAAAAAAAAATGAAAATGTAAAATATGTAAAAGAAAACAAAAAAAGGAAAAAAAAATACATTTGAAAATATATAATCTGTTGAACTTATTTTGGGAAAAACAAAATAATGGACATTTGAAAACAAAAATCAAAAAAACAAAACAAAAATTTTCAAAACCTTTAAACTTTTTGGATTGCACTTTCTTTAAAATTTCAATTTAACCAAATATTTTTAAAATTTACATTAACAAAAACCTGTCCTTTGCTTGGGAAATTAATGGAACAAATTTGACTCCCTATGAGTCTTGGTTGACCGCACCATCTCATAGGCCAGCTCGTATGCGTCTGGGTTCAGCGATGGCACCAGGTGGATCCT